CATCAACCAGCAACTCTCCTGCACGAGCCACCATAAGGACAAACAAAACATGAATCGCAGGGGGGCGATTCGCCCCCTGACCCCTGCCTGCCTGCCTGTCGGGCCGTGCACGCTTGGGCCTCGACTGACCCTGGGAACCGACGTAGCGAAACAATTGCAACATCGTAAACAATCACGCCCGGAGCCCTAGACCTTAACTTTCGGCGTCGTTTCTCGAGCTGGATCGATCTGTGAGGGTCCCCGGGCCCGAGAAGAGGCGAAAACGCGGTGGCTGGAACAACATTGAGACGCCAGGATCTCGGGGGACGGCACGCTTCGAGTAGGGGATCGTCCACAGAACTGACTGGCCCCCACCATGATTTCCTCGTCGAGTCCTACGTAGCATATGTCTGTATACCTACGCGCATTCTGCGAATCTGGCTCTGACGAACAAGCCCGCTTTAGGGCAAACCAATTCTGCAGTCGATCCCCTACTCGCTTGTTGGGCGTGGCTTAATGGGGGGGTCACAAATGGGGGGGTCAGAAAAGGTCCCCTTTCGTGCCCCTTTCGGGCCCCTCCAGAGCCCCAGGGGGCTCGTTTAGGTACCGTTTGGGTACCTTTTCGGACCACCCTCGCCGCCCCCCCATTTATGACCCCCCCATTACGCAGCGCCCAAGCTTGGGCCTCGACCGACGTGCCGGCCCGTCCTCGCGGCGGCCCTCGGCGTCCGCCCCGATCTCGCCCTTGGGCTCCCACGCCCACACGGCGGTCGTCCCGCAGGCGGCCTGCACGACCTTCTTCGCCTTCTCCTCGCGCCGGGTTTTCGGGGCGGGTTGGGCGCCGCTGAGGGGCGCGGGGGCGATCCATGGGGGGGGGGGAATCATGACAGGGGCCTGGGGACACACAGATAAACATACACAAGATCCCAGGATCTCCAATCTGTTCAGAATCCTTTCTGGGTTTTCGTCTTCCACCCCACTTCCCATATTTCCCAGTCTTATCCTGGGATTCGACGATGGATTGTGTCTGAGTGTATTTTGCCCCTTCTCGTAGACAAGGCGCACTTCTTCGTGCCCTGAAGGCCCCCATTGGGGCCCTGGAGGGCCCCTTTGAGGCGGGCCCCAGGAGGCCCCTCCTCTGAAGCCCCCGATGCGCCGCCCAGTTGCCGCCCCGCCCACGACGCGACGCCCAAGCGTGCCGCGGTCGGCGGCCGCCTGCGGCCCCCCGTCCAGCCCTGGCCCTGAGCCCCCCCCCCCTCCCCCCCGGGCAGCCTCAGCCTGCCAGGAGGGCAGAAGCAGACCACCCTGGGCCATCGGCCCCCCCCCAGAAGCCACAAGGGCATCCGAACGAGACCTCGCCCTCCCCGGGTGCTGCCAACTGCGCAACCGACGCCACCTTCGAGGGCCCGTGGCTTCCTGGGGTCCGGCGGCGCGACGCCGCACGGACACAGGGGGCACCCAAACGAGACATCGTCCTCCATGGGGATGCTGACAGCTGCGCAGCTGACGCCACTCGCGCGGGCTCCTGTGGGGTCCAACGGGGCAGCTCCTTACCGGTGGGCAGGCGGGACCTCGCCCTCCCTGGGTGCCGACAACTGCGCAACCGTCGCCGTGTTCGTGGGCAGCTGAGAGGTGCAGCGGAGCGACGCCTCACGGGCACCCGCACGAGGCCTTGCCTTCCCTAGGACGTCCAACGGGGGGGCGCCTTACTGGCACCCAGACGAGGCTTTGCCGTTCCTGGGTGCTGACAACTGCGCAACAGTCGCCACGTATTGGGCTCCTGGGGGACTCCAGGGGAGTGCGGGCCACCCACATAAAATCCAGACCTCGCCTCCCTGGGTGGGTCGTGCCTGGGCGACTGAGAGGCAGAGCTGCCGGCGCACACTCCAGCTGGGTCATGTGCTTGTCTGAGCGTCTCGCGCGCAGACAGGGGTGCGCGTGCGGCCGCGAAGATTTATGCTCTCTCTGGACGGCGCACGGTTGAGGTGGCGATATTACCTGTAAGCCGCATCCAGGGTAGCCGCTGCATGGGCGATGTGACAGAACGTCGTCATCTGTCTCCTCCTCGTGCTTGTGTTCCTCCTTGCGCATGTTACCATGCTCCTTCTGTGTTAACGCCGCGTGTTCTCCTCCTCCTCCTCCTCTTCTTTGCCGTCGTCGTCCTCTGCCTCCTCTTCACTGCGTTATCTTCGGCGTCGCCTTGTACAGGTCCCATTGGGCGTGCAACAAATGAGTTCCGAATGTACTTTCCAAAGAAGATCACAAAGCTTTTTAATTGTTCACGTCCCGTGCAATAAACATATGGTACTGCCACTTGCTGCAGATGGGTTGTGTACGTCCTTGGGTAATGTCTCTTATGCTTCCTCTTCCTCATCCGCTTCCTGTCCCCTTTCTGTGTCCTCCTCCTCCTCTTCCTCCTCCTCCTCCTCTGCCTCTGCTTCCTTCGCTTCGCCTCTGCCTCCTCCTGATCTCCCTCCTTCTTCCCTCCCTCCCTCCCTCCCTCCCTCCCTCCCTCCCTCAATCCCTCGATTCCACTCCTCCTTCGCATTCCCCTCCTTCTTCTGGCTCTCATGGGGCGCTCTTGCGCCGTTTTGGGGATGTACTTAACAGCCTGCGGGGGAGCTCTTGGGGTCTTCTTGGTGTCCTCTTCGGGCACTGCCGATGAGAAGGAAGACAGTGAGAGGATGGAGAAACGATGCGGATGAGGAGGCAGGGAGGGAGGAACGAGGAAGGAGGGAGGGAAGGAGACGGGACGGATCGTGGATCAGAAGGAGGAGGACGAGGAGGAAGAGAACGAGGAGGAGGACGAGGACGAGGAGGATGAGGAGGAGGAGTACTAGAGGAAAGGAAAGGCAATATACGATGTTACAGGCAAGCGACGCTCTGGGCGACCTCTCCTCGTTGATGCTGGGCCACCACAGCGCGAGGTCCATGACTCCGTTCTTGTTCTTGACGACCTTGGAGAACTTGCCGTAGGTGCCCCCGCCGTAGAACGCTGGCGTCTGGCCTGGGCGAGGAGGTGATGCGGATGGGGACGCGAACGACGACGGCGATCCGCAGTCTGTGAGGAAGAGGGGGAGGAGGAGGAAGACTCAGGCCGGCAAGAAGCCTGCCGCAGAGCCGCGAGCTCCGCGGACAGCCAAGCTCCAGGGAACGACCGAAGCAGCCACAGCCGCCGCCAACGCATCGGGCGAGGCGCCCCTCCAGCCCGGCCGGGCGCCCCGCCCGCCACGTCGGGCGCGGCCTCACCCGAGCCCGCCAGGCTTGCCTCCGGCCGCATGCGGGCACGTCTTGGGGGCGAGGCGAGGGGGACGCCACGGAGAGGGCTGGCCTGCCGGGGGTCGGCCAGGCCGCCCCGGGGCCACTGCGTCAGGGAGGGGGGAGAGCCGGGGGCGCGTCGAGGCAGGAGAGCCCAGACTCGAATCGAGGAGTCGGAGCGGCGATCGGCCTGACTCGGCTCGGCAGACGTCGACGGCCGGGTCGGGAAACGTCGAGTCGGCGGGCATCGGCAGGCCGGTGTGCCTCCAGCGAGAAAGCGGGGCCCAGATCGGAATCCCAAGTCGAACCGAGTCGGAATCGGAAGCCCTCGGAGTCGAACCGAGTCGACTCGTAGGAGGAGGAGGAGGAGGAGGAGGAGGAGGAGGAGGAGGAGGAGGAGGAGGAGGAGGAGGAGGAGGAGGAGGAGGAGGAGGGGGAGGGGGAGGGGGAGGGGGAGGGGGAGGGGGAGCCCCGTCGAGGAGCGCCCCTCGCCATCGCTCGGACGTCCCTTCCCCGCGCATTTGCTTCGATCTCGTGCGCTTCGCGCGTCGCACGAGGATCCAAAGAGGCTCCTCGATGGCCCTCGCGGAGAAAAAGTGCACACGTCCGAGCGATGCCGAGGCCCTGGGGCGCGTGGGGCACATCTCGGAGGCACGCCCGTCGGTGCAGGAGTGGGGAAGCCGTTGCGCGTTCGACCAGGGACCCCTTGATGCGCATCCGCCTGCGGCGGTGACTGGCGATCTTTCGGCCGTTACTCGGCGTCTGGGGCCCCGACTTCCTCTTGAAGAGCCCTGCGCGGCTTCAGAGGAGGCTCGCCCCCGACATCCTCTGTTTTTCTTTTTGGCTGATATTGTTTTTTTGCACCACGAGGTCCCCAGAAGCTCCGACCCTTTCTTCTCAAAGGCCGGCCTTCCGCCCCGATTAGTCTCTTGGCGGTCTCGGGTATCTGGCGAGGGCCATGGAGGCCGAAGGCGGCGAAAAGGCCTCCGCCTGGAGTTTTTCAACACGTCGGCTGTCTGGTCGGGGACGCACCAGCCCGGGTCAACACAAACTCGGGTCGGCCGGGGCCCTGTCGCGAAGCCCGGCTGGCCGCTCAGCAGTTCCCGAGTCCGGGCCAGCGGATACGGATGGACTCCAAGCCCAAGTGCCTCAGACGAGTCTTACACATGCCACCTCCTTTCCCGTCACGCGTGTCAGATAAGGTCGTCCTGCAGGAAGCCCGGCAGGCCCCCTACAGCACCCAGCTTCTGCGACAGCAGCTCGCGCTGTTTGGAAAAATAGGTAGGGCGTCGAACCACGATTTTCTTAGACAAGCCACTTTCCAGCCTGACACTGTTCTCCCAGCCACGGCCGCGCTCTAACGCAAGCGTGGTCGACCGAAGAGAGAATGGGCAACGGAGCTGCACATAATGATCTCGTCCAGATTCAATTCGCACGATCTGCTCCTACAGTGCATACATGACCCTATGCAATGGGATGCTTTTGTGAAGCGCCACACACAACAGTGCGTCGAGCCAGACGGGCATCTGTGACTTGTTGCTTTGTTCCCCGTTCCCCCCCCTTCCACTCCTCTTCTTCCCCCTCCCCCTCCCCCCCGCCGGGCACGTTGTAAATTATGCGACCGCCGACGCGCCGCCACTCCCGCTAAGCGGCGATAGCTGGCTGGCATTGTCTTCTTTCGCCCACGCGCTCTGGCGTATGGCCTGAGTAAGTGAGTGAGGACGATGACTAACTCGTGTGAAGAGAACTCGGGGATCTCCGAGATCTGGCGGCTCTGGACGATGTATCGGGCGCCGCGGCCCTCTCGGAGCGTTCGCGCTCTGGGGCGGATCTGCCCTCGTCCCAGCCCCGCCCGAGTTAAAGGGGAACGTCGGCCCCGCGTGGTTCCCAAAAGCCCGGGTCGCCCAGAGGGGGTCGGCTGAGCCCCCCTTGGCGCTGGCGCTGACCCCCGCGGCGTGGGCCCGGGCCCGCCCTCCGCGCGCCGCCGGGCGAAGCCGCCGACTCGCCGTCGCTCGGACGTGCCTTCCCCGAGCATTTTTTTCGCGTTTCGTGTCCTCCTCCTCCTCCTCCTCCTCCTCCTCTTCGGATCTCGTGCGTTTCGTGTTCGCACCGCGGGACTTTCGGCTCCGTGCGTCGCACGAGGATCCAAAGAGGCTCCTCGATGGCCCTCGCCGAGAAAGAACGCACGCGTCCGCGCGATGCCGAGGCCCCGGGGCGCGTGGGGCACGTCTCAGCGGCACGCCCCAGTCGGTGCAGGAGTGGGGAAGCCGTTGCGCGTTCGACCAGGGGCCCCTTGATGCTCCTCGATGGCCCTCGCCACGACAAGGCAAAAGGCACGCGTCCCAGCGATGCCGAGCCGAGAAAAGGCGCGGATGGCGGCCCCGCCGTCTGCGAGGGGGCGGGGGCCGCGAGACCCGGTGCAGACGCCCGCGGGCCGGCGCAGGGCGCGCAGGGGGCGAGATGGGGGCACGTCAGGGCTTCGCGCTGCGACGAGTCACGCTGCGACGAGTCAGGAGGTGGAGGAGGAGGGGGAGGAGGAGGGGGAGGAGGAGGGGGAGGAGGAGGAGGAGGGGGAGGAGGAGGAGGAGGAGGAGGAGGAGGAGGAGGAGGAGGAGGAGGAGGAGGAGGAGGAGGAGGAGGAGGAGGAGGAGGAGGCGGAGGAGGAGGAGGGAGAGGGGGAGGAGGGGAGGAGGGGAGGAGGTAGGAGCCTCGCCATCGCTCGGACGTCCAGTCCCCGTGCAGTCTTTGGCCTCGCGCGTGCCTGTTCGCCAGATGGTCCAGGATGCTCCTCGAGGGCCCTCGCCTGGAAGAACACGCGCACGCCCGAGCGATGCCAAGGAGCTCGAGCGAAGGCGCCCGCCCTGCCCTCAGGTCTGTCCTGGGCGAGCAGGGTTTAGCGTGAGCCAGGTGCTCCCCACGCCAGCCACACTCTTGTCGCCGACCGGCCCGCGGAGGGCGCGCAAGGGCGAGAGGGGGCACATCAGGACGTCGCGCTGCGACGAGTCCGGAGGCTGCACTCGGGGTGGGGGGGTCCTGAGGGGTTCCGGTCGTACTGCCGCCCCCCCTGTCCCTTGTCGGGTTCCCTCCGAGCGAGTCTGATAGTTCTTGCTCGGCAATTCATCAATTCATGGCCAAAACGGTCCAAGACGGCCCTGAAACAGCCCAAGATCGCTCCAAGACACGGCCCAATACACCCTCAAGAGGGCCTCAGAAACCCCAAGAGGGCTCAAAGAGGAGCCCCGGGAGGGACCCAAGATGCGAGAATCAGCGATGTTCAATTAGTTGTTCTATGTTTCCCGTGTCCTCGCCTTTACGACGTCCGACGCTCCAAGACAGCCCAGGACGGTCCCAGAGGCTGCCGAAAGCTCCCGAACATTGCCTCGGACGGCCCCGACCTCAAGACAGCCCAAGACGGCCTCAAGACCACCCAAGAGGCCCCCAAGACGATCGAATGGGGTCCCAAGAAAGCTCTCTGAGGCTCCCAGGAGGGGAACACCAACCGTCATTTTGATCCTTCCGCCCCAAGAGGCCCCCATGAGGCCCCAAGAGGCGCCCGAGAAGCCCCCAAGAGGCTCCCGAGAGGTCCAAGAGAGGCCCAAGGGCACTTCCAAGACAATCCCAAGAGGGTGACATATTTTCTCATTTTGAATGTTTTTCGTCGTCACTGTCGACGTCGGCGTCGTCGTCGTCGTCGCGACAGCCGTCGTCGGCAGCTTCGTCGTCGTCGTCGCCGCCGCGCCGCCGCCGCCGTCGTCGGCAGCTTCGTCGTGGTCGGCAGCTTCGTCGCCGTCGTCATCGTCGTCGTCGTCGTCTTCGCCGTGGGGCCAGGCCGTGGCAAGCTGAGGGCCGCGGCCCACGGCCACGAAGCCCAGGGGCGCGAGGGACCACGTCAGCAGCGCGCTGAGCATCCAGGTCGGGGTCGGCGGCGGCGGCTTAAATTCTCTGCCCCCGCGGGCGCGCTGGACCAGCCTCCTCGCGTTGGCGTCGGCTCTCGAGGTGGCCCGTTTCTTCAACCCTTGGCGGTCTTCTAGCGTTGGCGCCAGACATGCGATGTCCTGATTTTTTCAATGCGGGGTCCCTGGAAGTCCCGACCCGTTCCCTGGGACCGGATCTTCATCCTGAATTGCTTTTGACGGCCCCGAGGCCCGGCAAGGGCCCCCCCCCAGGCCGAACATGGTCGAACACCGCCCGTCCTGATTTTTGCGAAGACGCGATCAAGTCTGGGTCCAGAGAGGCTGCGCCTCGCCGACAGCGCTCTGGAGGAGGAGGAGGAGGAGGAGGAGGAGGAGGAGAAGGAGGAGGAGGAGGAGGAGGAGGAGGAGGAAGGCAACTTCCTCGGCCCTCGCCGGCGCCGTTCGTCCCGTGCTGGGCCTCCCCATGGGCCCTGTCGTCGCCGCGGCTGGGCGCGCCTCGGAGAACGGGTCAGGAGATGGATCCCGGGAGGGGTCCGGGGACAGACCTTGCGCGGGGTTTGGATCCTCATCGCCCAGATCTCCAGCGACACGACTCATCATCATCATCATCATCATCATCATCATCATCATCATCATCATCATCATCATCATCATCATCATCATCATCATCATCATCATCATCATCATCATCATCATCATCATCATCATCATCATCATCATCATCATCATCATCATCATCATCATCATCATCATCGTCATCATCATCATCATCATCGTCAACGTCATCGTCATCGTCATCATCATCACCATCATCATCAACAACATCATCATCATCATCATCATCGTCGTCGTCGTCGTCATCACCATCACCATCACCGTCACCATCACCATCACCATCACCATCACCATCATCATCATCATCGTCATCATCATCATCATCATCATCATCATCACCATCATCGTCATTATGTTTTCTAATTGTGTTTTTCTCAAACTCGCGGCGATAATAAACCATGCTTTGCCACGGAAGGCCAGGGCAGGGGCGGCCCAAGGAGCATCAGGAACGAAGAGCTTCTCCCAGGGAAGGGGCCGGGGCGCCTCTGGAGCCGCGCGCTGGAAACATCGTATCGTCAGGTGGCTGGGTCGGGTCCACGGGGGCCGGTCGCCACCGTCCCCCTGTTCTTCCACCGCCGCCCCCACCTCCTCATCCTCGCCCCTCTCTCTTTCCCTGTCTCGTTTGCCCTTCCTCCCTTACTTTCGCCCTCCGTTCCTCTTCCTTCTCCTCCCCCTCCTCCCCCTCCCCCTCCCCCTCCTCCTCCTCCTCCTCCTCCTCCTCCACGCCTGCTCCTCCTCCTCCTCTTCCCCTTTCTCGTGCTCCTCCTTCTGCTCCTCCTCCTGCTCCTGATCGTGCCGCTGCTTGGACACGGCCCATGTGCATTTTCGGCCAGTGCAAATCAAAAGAGGATACGTAGACGACATCACCCAGTCCCAGCACGGCACCGATGACGAGATTCTCCGTGCCCTCATCCCCGCCGCTGTGCTGCTCACCCACCAGTTGCAGAGCCTGGGCTGCTCCCTCTCGGCAAAGTCGGCCCTGGTCTGCAGTAACAAGTATCTCGGCAAGCAATTGTCTTTGCGTCTTAGAGCCGTGGGGCTCCCTTATCACCTACCAGCCTGCTGCGAGAGACCTGGGGGTCATGACCACGGCAGGTAAGAGAAGGCTCACTGTGAAGCTCATGCAGCGTCGGGCCGAAGCCTCCAAGAAAGCCAACAAAACTCGGCTTTTGTCTCGTATTGCCGGCATAGCTAGGAAGTTCTATACGCCTGGGGTTTTAGCGGTTGGCTCCTGGAGCCATCAAGTTTTGGGCCTCACTGGAGGCCAGATCCAGTCCATGAGGGGCCAAGCGGCCATGTGACCTGGCTGGTGGACCCCAGGGGCCTGTATCGCTTCGCTTCTTGGGCTGGTGAGGTCTGCCGAGGATGATCCCCAGTTTAGGTTTCGTTACGAACAGCTGATCGCGTTCCATGGTGTTTGGCATGATTTGGACCACAAGATGAGGATGGAGGCTGCGCTAGCTGTTGGAAACGTATTCTGGAGGATTTCGGATAATCAAAACACGTATGGCAGAGAGTTCGTGGACCCATCGCGGCCAATCGCAGTCTTGATGGACATCCGAGTTCACCCGCTCAGCCCTGTTAGCTGGATCTTCCCCAACGGTGTGCGCCTGTGCCTCTGCGACGAGGCTTTCCCACATGCCCCGTGGACCCAGCTCAAGGAGCCGTGCCTGGATTTGTCGTGGCGCACGGCCGCCAAGCACTACTTAGGATCAGGTTTGGAAAGAGGAGTTGATTTCGTTGTCCCTCGTACGTTGTCGAAAAAGCTGGAGAAAGATGGATCCTTCGAGTCCGCCGGGATGCGCAGGAACATGTTGGTCGGAGGTTCTTGGACAGAGGGTAGGCTGGCGACTGCTGGCTACGACTCATGCTCCAGAAGTTTCTGCCCTAGATGTGGCCTGGCTCCCGAGACCGCCGCTCATCGCTCTTGGGACTGCCGCTGCAACAGCGAGATCCCTGATGATGCTGTCTCCCGATCGGACGGATTCAAAGACATTGCCCTACATGCCCGTGACTGTTCCAGTTTCTGGCTCCGTGGCCTGCCACCACTCAGTGGGAACCTTCCATGGCCCCTTTCGCTTGGATGGGAACGGGGGAGGTCAGGTGATGGAGCTAAGATTCATGGAGGAGTCTGGGGAGTTGACGGGGCTGGATGTAAGCATCACCTTGATCGGAGACTTAGGCGCTGCGGCTGGGCTATCGTCCACCAAGGCGAAGATGATAGAGCAGATGAAGTTGCCAGCGGCACTTTACCCACTAAGATGCAGACCGCTGGCCGTGCCGAACTGTATGCCCTCATTCAGCTGCTCCAAAGGTCCACTGGTGATGTTACCGTTTTTTGTGACTGTCTTGCAATGGCTCGTGGTATCAGCAAGTCCGTCAAACGTAAGGCACAATCTGCAACGTTGGATCTCTGGGCAAAGCACCATCGGACCCTGGACTCCCGTGGCGGATCAGTCGAAGTTCGATGGACCAAAGGCCACCCTACCCAGTCCTAGATTTCCCACATGTGTTTGACCCCCATGAGGAGGTCTACTTGAACAAAGCCGCTGTGAGATTACGACTCGTCCGCCTGGGTCTCGAGTTAAGAGCTTTTTGAAGAGCCTGGATGTCCGCCTCTGCCGCCTGAAGGATGTAGGCCACGATTGTGTTGTACGCTCGGAGTCTTTGAAGTGTGGCCTGTGTTTCCGATCCTTCTCGCGGCGAGGTGCTCTGTGTGAAATCTAGCCGTCTCAGTGCAAGCCTCGAGCCGAGATTTGCAGCGAATTCAAGCTCTCCCCCTAGGCAGGCAGATGACCTGATTGGGCCCAGCGATGAGTTTCCTCCTGATGACTTGGGTCCTCCTGAGGGCGGAGTGTGGGGGGAGGGGTCTGGATCATCCTGTCGCGGAGCTGTGCCATCCCACGAACATGCTGGCCGCTCTCAGGGGTGTCTTGTTTCGTGAGGTGTGTGGGCGGCACTGCGTCTCTTTTCCGCAAGGTTTGAAAGACGAGTGCGGCCCCCCACCAAAGCTGGGAAGGAAGCTCTCGGGAGATTGAAGAAAGAACTGCCGCCCAAGTCGCGCGGCAAATTTCCTGATTTGTAATGATGTGATGCGTGCCTAGCCCTGCAACCAGTCACCAAGCTCAGAGTAGAATGTACTAGAATCCTCCTCCTCCTCCTCCTCCTCTTCCTCGACACTCCTTCCCCGGCCCTCCCTTTCCTCCTCTCAGGCGGGCGAGGGGGCGGGGGGACGTGGGAAGAGATGGAGGAGGAGGAGAAGGAGGAGAAGGAGGAGGGAGGAGGAGGAGGAGGAAGACAGAGGGAGGAGACGGGAAGAGATCAGAGAGCAGGGAATAGACGGAGGTGTGAAAAGGGGCATGGCCCTCCACTCTGGCTGAATGTTCCTTCCTCCCCACGCCCCGTCTGGCCGAACTCGGCCATGGGCGCCATGTATATTCCGCCCCTTCCCCCCCCCATTATCCCCCCTCGTTCTCCCCATCCCCCCTGCCTTTCATCTTCCTTCTTCCTTCTCCTCCGTCTTCCTCCCTCCCCCGCGGGCACGCTGGACAAGTCTCCTTGGCAAAGTGTGGGGCGCTAGCATGGCCCGGAAGAAGGGGGGGTGATGAGAAAGGTGAGAAGGGAGGGAAAGAGGAGGATAGGGATGAGGATGCGGATGAGGCTGACGTTGACGCTGCTGCTGAAGATGAAACTGATATGTTGATGCTGCTGCTGATGATGGTCCACGGGACCGGCGATGTGGAGGAGACCTGTAGATCACTCAGGCACCCCTGAGGTGGTATATGCAATCGCGGAATGGAGTGGTCGAGAGAAACAAACAGAAGAGAAAGCGAGAGAGAGAGAGAGAGAGAGAGAGAAAGAGAGAGAGATACGATAAGGAGGGGGCAGATGAGAGAGGCGGAGGGAAGAGCAGGAGGGATGGCGATCGTGATGTACTAATATCAGACAGGGGGCCTGTCCCGAGGGTCAATTTGGGCATCTGGAGCACGTCGGGTGGTTCAATGACGTCTGGGATCCTGACACCACCTCCGTTCCCCTCGCCCTCTCCGTTGCTGTTCCCCCTCCACGTCCCCTTTTCCGTTCTTGCTCCCTTCCTCCTGTATTCATCGTGCTTCCATGCTGCACGGGCTTTTTAGTATGGCCGCCTGGCTATCATGAAATCAACGCGCCAACTTTCCAACCAGACCGACCGGGTCTACCCTACGTACCTGAGTCGGAATGAGCCCCCCAGATCCTCAACGGATCGCAGGCGGAGGAGGTCGTGGGCATGATGCGCAGCATCGCCTCCGAAAACTCGACCACCTTCTCGGTGAGCTGCGCCCAGACCTTGCCCGCAGAACCAGGCGAGCAGGGGGAACGAAGAGGGCAGAGGGGGCGGGGAATGGAGGTGAGGGCCGTCTCTCTCTCTCTCTCTCTTTCGCGTTCGTCTTCCTCTTGACAGGCCCACGACACGCCCCAACCCGACAAGATTCCCCTGGAGGGCTCTAAGACGGCCCAGTGACGGACACGGCTTTCGCGCAAAGGCTCCCGGCCCCAAGCAGCCCAGTGACGGCAGCAGCTTGGACGCCAAGGATCTCACGAGCTCCAGGTGATGGAGAACCTTGATTTAGGCGAGCCTGTGGCGCCGACCAACTTGCACGCCCCACCGCGTGCACCAGTCCCCCTAGTCCGTATCATCCCCAGACCCAGCTCCTCGGTGTGCGCAGAGCATCGAATATACTCCTCAGCCTGCGTGCTGCTCTTCTTCGTCGCGAATGCTCTGCTTACCTGTGGGCCACTAGATGAGGGTATCTTGCGGGACGCTTCCAGTTCACAATCGGATGACCAAACAAGATCCAAGGGCTCGGTGGTGCGGCATGAGCCGCACAGTCGAAGCGAGCACAGCATGAACCAAGGGCGACCTATCAACGCTTCCTGTCTCGACACGAAAGGAAGCTCTGCTGTTGCCGCTGCTCCTCCTGCACCTCCCTCCTCGCCTTCTCCTCCGACCCTTTCCTCTCCGCCTCCTCTTCTTCCTCCTCCCTCTGTACCTCCTCTACCTCCTCTGTCCTTTGTTAGTTCCTCATCTTTCTTCTTCTCCCCTTCCCTCTCCGTCTCCATCTCCATCTCCTCCTCTCCCTCCTCCTCCTCCTCCTCCTTCTCCATCCCTCTCCCTCCCTCTCAATCTCCCCTCCACTTCCTCATCCCCTGCCTCCTTGTCCTGCCCCTCCTGCTGCTGCTGTCGCTTCCATCCCCCCTCTTCCTCTTCCTCCTCCGAGGCCCCGGCTTTAGTGTTGATGTGCCTTCCCCACGTCGTCGCGGGAGCCCTACCCAGGGAGCAATAGCCTTCGCGGAGCCAATCCATGCCTTGGCGGGGAGTGGGGGAGGGGCAGCAGAGGGGCGGTAGGGAGGAGGAGAAGAAGGACTTGAGGTAAGTAGTAGAGCTTAACCCCATTAATGGGCCCAGCATCCTGCACTCATCTGCTCTGTAGGGCAGGGTGGCCCGCTGTGGCAGATGGCCATCAAGAGACAGAGGAGGATAATGATCAGGAGGAGGATGAGGAGAAGGAGGAGGGAGATGAGGAAATGGAGGACGAGGAGAAGGAGGACGAGGAGGAGGAGAGAGATGGAGGACGAGGAGGAGAAGGAGGAGGAGGAGGACGACGAGGGGGGATATCAGACAAAACCCATGATGGATCCACCATGCTGCTACCTCCCGTCCCACTTCCCCCCCTCATTGGGGTCCCTTCAAAACAACTGCATTTCACTGCGCGAGGCGCCCCCCCCCCCCCCCACCTTTGAGCGACGAACACCCCACGGGGCCAACAATTTTGAAACGGGACCTCCGCTTTGAGAGAACATGCCCTCCGTCCTTCGAGGAATACAGGAACTCGACCACGAGAAACCTTCCGCAAGACACCCAACCCTCAGACCCCAGGGCGTCCATGGATTTTTGGTGTGGGAGCGTCACGCTGTCCATAGCAGACCCATCAAGACCCAAAACACCCAAGGCACCTTGGCGGCAACAAAATGTTTCTTGGCATGGGTTTCCAATGTACGGGTTGCGGGGCGGGGTTCATAATGGGAAACTCCCAACGACGACCCCACTTTGAAAAAGGACCACCCGCTCCATCCGTGCAGCTGCTGCACAATCTCAGAATTCGGGTTCTGGAACCCAGCGAAATGCAAAACGAACACCACACTCCGAAAACGAACACCCATCCGTCCGTGTAGCTGCCGTGAAGATTTACATGCCCAATGAGATCTCGAAGTATATACGAGCGTGAGCGGCGGCGATGCGATATCTTCCCAAACAAGCAGCCGCGCACCATCTGCGTAACTGTTTGATGCTTTTAAAACGAGCGTGCGCAACACCAAAACGATAACGCCATTGTGACAACGATTCGCCCTACATCCGTGTAGCTGCTCGAACTTTTCAAAATAACTGTTCCACTGTTGGAAAAGAGTGTGTTCGGCACCAATGCGAAGCCCCATCTAGTCGTCTTCCATCGGTGTAGATGTTGGGAACGACAAGCTTCAATCTCGTAAGCGGTGAAGAAGTCTCATCTGAAGCGCCCTGCCTGGCCTGATGACACGCCTGGTGGTGGGACAGGGGAGATCTGTTTGCACGACAGAGGGGTGGAGATGGTCAGCGAGGACTCGCCATCGCTCGGACGTACATTCCCCGTGCGTTTTCTGGTCTCGTGCGCGCTTCCTGCGCCAGATGATCCAAGATGCTCCTCGGTGGTCCTCGCCGAGAAACAAACATACATGCCCGAGCGATGCCACGAGGATGCGGAGCAGGAGCACGTGGAGGATCGGATGCCTGGCGCCGCCCCAGCCCGTGAGAGCTGGCCGCTCCGACCGTGCCCCCCCACGGGCGACGCCCGCCCACGAGGGGGACGATGCCCCCCACCCCCGCCCCCTTCCCGCGCGACCTGTGGCGCCGTGTCGCTCCCCATGGCGGCAGCGGCCGCCGCCGCGCGCACCGAGCGCGCGCCCTGCGCCTGCTCCGCGCCGCCCTGGCGGCCGCCGCCCTGGCGGCCGCCGCCCGGCGTCCTCGCGCCCGGCGGCGCGGGCGCGAAGGCTTGGCGCCAGAGGGGCCGCGTGGAGAAAGACGTGGGCCAAGACTGCGACGGAGAGGGGGCGGGGCGGAGGATGGGGGGGAGGAGGGAGGGGGTGTGGTGGTGGGCGCAGGCTTGAACGCAGCTGCGTGTCGGGTCAAACCGCGACGCACCCCTGCGTCGAGGCAGAGGGCGCCCTCAACTTATGAAGGGGCCCCCCGGGGGAGGGGGGAGTGAGGGAGGAGGGAGGGAGGGGGGAGGAAGGGCCGAGAATAATGAGGAAGGGGGATGATGATGAGGAGGAGGAGGAGGAGGGGCAAGGGAGGGAGGGAGGGGGCGAGGAGGGACGGAGGAGGAAGGAGGGGGGGAGGGAGGGATGGCGGCGATGTCGTGGAGGACTCTCTGGCGTTCAAGAAGCTGAGAGCGGACGTGGAGGTGCTCCAAGCAGAACAGAAAAACCAGAAAGGGGCCCTTAGCGCACTCCAGCAGACCGTCGAGAGCACGTCCACTGACATCAAGGACATGACAAGCATGCTGGCCGCAACGCTAGCCACGCAGGACCGGGCGTGCAAACACGGGCCAGCGCGGCCACCAAGGCGCTGAGACCAGAGCCAGGGCTGGGGCCAGAGCAGAGCCAAAGCCCAGAACCCACGGCGACCCGCACTTCCAGCCAGAGGTGGGCGCCACTTTACACGCGGCGGCAGCGGGCGTCCTGGGCATCTTCGCGGAGCGGCGCGAGATGGCTGACCTTGCAGCGAACATTGGAGATGGTGCCATGAGATTCGAGACGTGGTGGACAGCCATAACGATGTTCAAGACGTTGCAGCAATGGAACGCGAAGGTGTAGCAATTGTCCCAGCAGGCCGTCACGTCAGGGACGGTCACCACGACGGAGATGGTCGGCGCCTACCTGTACAACCGCGTGAGCAAGGATGGCTCCTGGTCGCAGCGCCCGCTCCGAGCCCTGGCCCGCACGTGAACCAGAAGATGGCAGAATATGCGAGCCGGCGCCCGTGTCTGCCGCTCATCGTGAAACATCTTGACCATCATACTTGGGTGCATGATATGTGCTATTCTGCCATGCTTCGATCTCTTCAGTCCTGAGTGACGCAGTCCCAGATATGAAAAGACTCGAACGATCTCTTGACGATGGCCGCGCGAATCCTGGCCAGGGCGACAGCCTAACCCAAGCCTCTGGACTTCGACTCCTCCTGCGCCTTCTTCCTCCCCCCGCCCCTGCCTTCGCCCTTGCCCCCTCCCCTTCCCCTGCCCCGCTCCTTTCGCTCCACCCGGCCGAGGAGGTAGCGCCCGAGGCACGGCCAGTTGCCGCTGGGGCCGAAGGCCCCGCCCGGCGCGGCCCGAACGCGGACGCGGCCATCCGAGACATCATTCACGGCTTCACTTTTTTGAGGTCAACGTGCGGTTATGCAGCTGCATGGTCGAAACCGTGGGCCTCACATATTCCGTATTACCTGGCCTCTCCCATCCTTTTTCCAGGCACGGAGTTTCCGCGCCCACCCTGGGGACAAGTTCAATGAGTGTTCTAGCATACCTGGGGATGGGAAGCAGTCGCCGCAGGTGAGTGCGGACAGCATCTGGAGCGCAGTGATTGTGTGCAGGGTAGGTCGTAACAGTAAGTTAGCACTTGCATGCATGGTCGTTCTAGTTGCAGGTTCCATACCAGCTTGTCTTAGACTTAGGACGCCGCTTACAGGGTGTCCCGAACATGGCCATGGGTCTGGGCCGAGACTCATAAACCAGTATTCCGTTCTTGGGGAAAAGAGGAGAGCAGGACGGCGAACCCTCAGGTCTCAATACATCGCTCTTGAAACCGCAGGTCTCATCACATTGTTATTACTCTTGTTCTGTGCAAGGGGGGGGAAGGAGGGGAGGAAGGGAGGGAGAGAAGGAGGGAGGGAGGGAGGAGAAGGAGGAGGAGGAGGAAGACCAATGTAAACCCAAAACAACAACTCATCACGATGTTGGAATGCACCCTCCCCCGAAACTCCCTCTTAACAAGCGCCTGCAATGGTTCATTTCCACTGAGGGAAATGCCCCGTTGGGGGACAACCGTGTCAAAGTCTTGACGCGCTTCAACGCCATTCTGAGGATTCCAACGCTACGAGTCAGCCTGACTGTTGCGCCTCCAGGGCACCATCCCTGGGACTTCAGCACCCCAAATCAACATAACTATTGCGCCCCATCATCTCTGGAAACCTTTCCGTGGTACCCAATGAGCCTCTGGCAACCTTTTGAAACGGATGTGTGCGGCGCTGAAGCGAGAACCTCATTTTGCAGAACTGTCGCCCCCAAGCCTGGAAGCTGTTGGAACTTTCTAGGAACGAGTGTGCGCGGCGCCCAAGCGATGACCGCATTTTGAGCAAGGAACAACATTTAATACGCGAGGCTCTTGCACATTTTTATGACGGATGTGCGCGGCGCTACAGCGATAACCACGGTTGGAGAACGAGCCATCTTCTATCCGTGAAGCCCATGCACTCTTTCAAAACGAATGTGGCGGCGCTAAAGTGAGCGCCACATGTTGGAAACGTGCCGCCCTCAATCCGTGAAGCTCTTGCGTATGTTTAAAACGAGTGTATGGATGCGGCGCTAAGGCGAAAGCCACATAGTGGAAATGACCCGCCCTCCATCTGTGAAGGTGCTGGCAATTTTTGAAGGTTCAGGCTCGTAAGGGGTAGAGAAGTATCAGAAGAAACGCCCAGTCCGCGCTTCCGACTGGCCTCGGTGTGCGCTTGGGAGGAACTATTCATAAGGGGAAGTAATGGAGGAGGAAGAGGTGGAGGAGGAGGAGGAGGAAGAGGCCGAGGATGAGAAGAAGGAGGAGGAAGAGGAGGAGGAGAAGGAGGAAGAGGAGGAGGAGGAGGAGGAGGAGAGGAGGAGGAGGAGGAAGAGTGGAGGAGGAGGAGGAGAGGAGGAGGAGGAGGAGGAGTAGGGAGGAGGAGGAGGAGGAGGAGGAGGAGGAGGAGGAGGAGGAGGAGGAGGAGGAGGAGGAGGCGGAGGAGGAGGAGGAGGAGTTGGAGGAGGAGGAGGAAAAGGAAGAGGAAGAGGAGGGAAAAAAGTCGCGCGCGAGAGGGTGACGCGTCCCCTCCGCTCGAGGGCGCTTGGCCGCGGCGGCCGAGCGAGGGAGGCGCGGGCCCGTCCCGCGGGCCTCTGATCCTCTCGTCCAGCGCCTCCAGGTCGCCCGCCCCGCCACTGCTGAACACCCCGTGGCCGCAGGCGCAAGACGAGCTCGCAGAGGCTCCCCGGCTGCCTTCCACGCGCTTCGCCAGTGACCCGCACGAG